TCCCTAGCTCTACAACTCAGCCCCTCTGATTCTTTAATGGACTGGAGCCACTGTAATACCAGTAAAGCATGTGTTACTATGCAGACTCCCCATTTGATTTCATCTTGGATGATGAAAAGAGAAGAGTAGTTTATCTAAAGTCCAAGCAGCAGGAGTCCAACTATTATTTGTGGTATCAAAGGAGTTTTCTAGTATGAAATTTGCTTTCATCAAGCTAATGTAATTTAGTATTTGATCCCAATCATTTCATAAGCCAACTTGGAAAAGAAGCAATCTAGCCACAGATATAATTAAAATCAGTTATATTAGAATAAGGGGAATTACTTTTAGTAGCTGATGGGAAGTTTTCATATTTTTCTCCATTAATGAAAAAGAAATACACCAAAATAAAAATAGAGAGAAGAAAAAAAAGCCCAACCCAGATCTGACTATACAGAGCCAAACACACTGACATAAAGTGGAGTCAACTCCATGTACTCTGGCATAACTGCACACAGTTTGATCCAAAGTTCAGGTATTGTTCAGGTCTTAGCACAGCATTAAGATGTGAAGAATTTAAATGGCAATTCAACTTAGTGTACAGTATTATTAATGATGTAATAATAAACATTTCCTACATTTCGCTATAAACAAAGCAGTTGTAGAAATTATTGCTGGTCTGTGATGTTAAAAATAAATAAAAACAGAAACTTGAGGTATGCAGTTCAATAATTCCCACCTCTCACTGACGTGAAGTAATGCTACTGCTCTTTCTGTAGCTAGCTGGAAACTAGAGGTTTCAAATTCTGCATGCTTTAGTCTCTCCTCAAACAATTCTTGGGGCTCACTTTTCTGCTCAAATGGGATAATTGACAGATGACAAAGTGCAGGGAAGGTTCTTATTTCCCCGATTAACCTTGATGCAACAGCCAATACAGTATACCCTAATCTATACAGATATTTCTAATGTGACCATCACCATAAAAATCTAAAAGAAAAAAAATGAAATATTCACACAGTGTTCTTTAAATAAAACATGGGAAAAAAATTGATGAGTGATGCACAGCAGTGTTGTTTTAATTAATGTCAGTACAGTTTTCCCCCTTAGGGTGGGGCTTAAGGCTTGATATCTCAGGGGGCCAATTACACGCTTCTTTGCTAAACCTGAACTAAGATTGGGAAATGGAAAAGTCACATCACCATGTACTGGTTAGTTAGCAATGCTGAAAATTTAGCTTATTTACTACATGTTCATCTGCGAATGAACCACTCTAGCTATCCCGTGTTTTAGAATCATAGCAGTGTAGGACTGGAAGGAACCTCTACAGGTGCTGTAGTCCAGGCCATAATGCTCAAAGCAGGACTACATGATAACTAAAACATTCCTGATAGGTGTGTGTCTAACCTGCGCTTAAAAAAACCCCAATGATGGAGATTCCACAGCCTACCTAGGCAATTTTTTCCTCTGCCTAGCTGCCCTGATTACTAGGAAGTTTTTCTTAATGCACAACCTAAACTGTCCTTGCTACAATTTAAGCCCATTGCTTCTTGTCCTGTCCTAATGTGGCACCCAGAACTGGACACATTTCTCCAGTTGAGGCCTTATCAATGTAGATAGAGATGAATTACTTCTCATGTTTAGCTTGTAACACACCTGCTGGTAAATCACAGAATGATGTTTGCTTTTATTGCAACAGTATTAAACTGTTGACTCATATTTAGCTTATGAACCTAGATCCTTTTCTGCAGTACTCCTGCCTACACAGTCATTTCGCATTTTGTGTGAGTGCAATTGATTGTTCATTCATAGGTGTAGTACATTGTATTTTTCCTGATTTAAGTTCAGTCTATTTATTTCAAACTCTTTCTCCAGTTTGCCCAGATCATTTTGAATTTTAATTCTATCCCCGAAAGCACTTGCAACTAGGGATGTTAATGGTTAACCAGTAAGCCTCACCATTACTTCAGCTCCCCATGTTTGCCCCGCTTAATTGGTTAACTGGTTAAAGTTTAACTGGTTAACTAATTAAACAAGATGTTACATCCCTACTTGCAACCTGTGTTCCCTTGTATGGCTGCTGAGGAGAGAGTCAAATGTCACCTAGCTGATTAGCAGAGTGCCCATACTTTCTACTGGTGGTGCACGTGCACATGCCTTGAGGCACATACAAATTATTCTGCACATGGATGAAAAGGTTAGAGGGAATATTGCTTGCATCCCCTCCCAGCTTGGTATCATCCACAAATAAACTCTCCTAGTATCTAAGTCATTTAGGAAGTTATTGAATAGAACTAGACTTAGGACTGATCCCTGGGGGAAGCCATTCAATATGTCCTTCCAGCTAAGCTGTGAACCACTACTAAGTACTCTCAGGGAATGGATATCCAACTAGTTATGCACCCACTTTATAGTAGTTAAATCTAGGTTGCATTTTCCTGGTTTGTTTATAAAAAGGTCATACCAGATAGTATCAAAAGCCTTACTAATGTCATTCGCATCTACCGCATCCCCTTATCCACAAGGCTTGCTACCCTGTCAAAGAAAGCTTTAGGCTGGTTTGACAGATTATTTCTTGACAAATTCATGTTGACTATTACTTATCATCTTGACCACTTGATAATTTGCTTCACTATCTTTATGAGGACTAAAGTTAAGCTGATTGATCTGTGATTCCCTGGATTGTCCTTATTCCCCTTTTATAGATTAGCACTGTATTTTCTCACTTCCAGTCTTCTGGAATCTCCCCGGCCTTTCAAGAATTTTCAAAGATAATTGCTAATGGCTCAGATATTTCCTGAATCAGCTCCTTGATTATTCTAGGATCTCACCAATCTACCAGAATTCTTCGAGGGGGGGCAGCAAGCATGTGAACAAGGGGAATCTAGTGGATACAGTGTACTTAGATTTCCAGAAAGTCTTTGACAAGATCCCTCATCAAAGGCTCTTAAGCAAAATAAGCTGTCATGAGAGAAGAGGGAATGTCCTCTCGTGGATTGATAACTGTATCAAAGGTAGGAATAAACGGTCAGATTTCAGAATGGAGTGAGGTAACTAATAGTGTTTTCCAGCCAAAACAAAAGGTAGGAATAAACGGTCAGATTTCAGAACGGAGTGAGGTAACTAACAGTGTTTTCCAGACATCTGTACTGGGACCAAATGCTATTCAGCATACTAATACATGAATTTGGAGAAAGGAATAAACAGTGAGGTGGCAAAATCTGCAGATGATACAAAACTGCTCAAGATAGTTAAGTCCAAAGCAGACAGTGAGGAACTTCAAAAGGATCTCAAAAATTAGGTGACTGGACAACAAAGTGGCAGATAAAATTCAGTATTGATAAATGCAAAGTAATGCATATTGGAAAACATAATTCCAACTATACCTATAAAATGATGATTAATTAACAGTTACCACTCAAGAGAGAGATCTTGGAGTCACTGTGGCTAGTTCTCTGAAAACATCCACTCAATGTGCATCAGCAGTCAAACAGAGCAAAGAAAACAATGGGAATCATTAGGAAAGGGATTGAGAAGAAGACAGAATATCTTATTGCCTCCGTATAAATCCATGGTACGCCCACATCTTGAATATTACATGCAAATGTAGTTGCCTCATCTCAGAAAAGATATATTGGCATTGGAAAAGATTTACAAAAGGGCAACTAAAATGATTGGGGTATGGAACAACTGTTATATGAGGAAAGGTTAATAAGACAGACTTTTCAGTGTGGAAAAGAGAGGACAAAGGGTAGATATGATAGAGGTATATAAAATCATGATTGGTGTGGAGAAAGTGAAAAAAGGACAGTTATTTACTTCTTCCTATATCACAAGGACCAAGGATCACCAAATGAAATTAACAGGTAGCTGGTTTAAAACAAACTAATAGAAGTACTTCTTCACACATTGACAGTCAACCTGTGGAACTCCTTGTCAGAGGATGTTGTGAAGACCAGGACTTTAACAGGGTTCAAAAAAGAGCTAGTTAAGTTCATGGAGGATAGGTTCATCAATGGCTATTAGCCAGGATGAAGTAGGAATGGTGTCCCTAGACTCTGTCAGAAGCTGGGAATGGGCAACAGGGAATGGATCACTTCATGATTACCTGTTCTGTTCACTCTCTCTGGAGCATCTGATATTGACCACTGTCAATTGACCACAGGATATTGGGCAAGAATGACCCAGTATGATCGTTCTTGTGTTCTTTCAACAGGCCCTGCTGACTCGAGGACATCTAACTTGTCTAAATAATATTTAACTTGTTCTTTCCCTAT